ATTTCTAACCACCTTACGACGGTGGTTAACCACGTGGTTTCTTATTTTACCGGTTTACAATGACCTAACGATGGTTAGGTCCCACGATCTACTACCGATGGTTAGGTGATCATGGTCAGGTGACTCATCATGGTCAGGTGACCGAGTTCTTATTTTACGGCCCCTAGTCATGTGCAGACTCACTTATAAATTAATTCTGAAATGTCCAAAGTATTTTAAAATTTGTAATTCTGTTTGTTTAAAAAAATTTAAGTTTGTAACTTTTGATATTTAATTTGTAATTCTGATTTAAACATTAAAAGACAAAAACTTAACTAAGTTCCTTCCCAACAGCATCTCCTAATTTCATCTACCTTTCCTCTATTTCCAATAATAGAATTGCGTGTATGTAAACCTAATGAAGCTAACAAACCTAAAAATAAATTTTCAATATTAATATCTAACAAAATTTATGTACCAGATGAAGATTTACTCGATCCATTGTTTTCACCTTAAAAATAATTTTTAAAATTTCTAAAATTTTCTAACCTAAAGCTGCCAATAATTGCTCTTCTGTTTCAATCTTCATTTTAGAAATATTTTATTTTAGACTGAAAAAAAAGTAATTAATAAGATTTGTTTATACGGCAATCCCGGAGAATTGAGGTCCTTGCAAAAAAATTCTAAAAATAAGAACAAGGGTTTTTCTAGGTTGAGCTCAGATTCGTAATCAGCATATTTTTTACCCTAGAAACATCATTTCTCCTATTTTTAAAGGGAGAAATTCTCCGGAATTGCCGTTTATAAATATGTAAAATATAAATTCTGATAAAACATTTGAAAAACAACAAATAATTATTTGATATTTTTTAATTTTTTAATTTTTAAATAACAATATAAAAAAACAAAAAAAAATTAAATTCTAAATTACAGTCATTTGCAAAATTCTATGTAAAACAGCAGGGTTTAGACCGCTCTTTTTAAAACTTTTTGAAGTTTTGTGGCCAAATTTGTAACTAATAGTAGAGGCATCGTCTAAACGCTCAAAGGAATCATAAAGTAAATAGGGCCCCTCAAAATAGCAACAATTTGTACGAGGATTGTTGAAACCTTAGAAAGAATTTTTAACTTTAAAAACTTCCAAAAAAACCCTCACCTTCAACATCAATATTAATTGCAATCGTGTTGAGTTGTCCAACTACAAACCAAAAATATTTTCCATCGCTAAGTATAAGTTGAGAGGTAATTGGGGAAGTAATGTCTGTATATTGGGTATTACCTACAAAAATAAATTTTATTTAAAAAAAAATTAATTCAAAACCAAGGCAATGTGCCTGTGCATTAAGCCAATTAAAAAGCGAAGAAATTGCTATAGCTTTAACACAATCATTTAAAGTCTCGTTCCATTCTGAACCTTGCTCGACCTTCCAATTAACTAAATTTTGGAAAATCGGTGAAATGTCTTTTATTGCGAGACGACCAAAAGTATGTGTTTCTTCTGAAATTAATGAAAGAATTATATAAAAAGAAAATTGTAATTCTGATTTTAAATTCTGAAAATTATTTTAAAATTGCTAGAAAGAATACTTAATTAACTTAAAATCAGAATTAAAATAAGAACTTGGTCACCTGACGATGGTCCATCGCCACCTAACCACAAGGTCATGGTTAACCTTACGACCGTCTTATTTTACCGGTTAAAACCGCTGTTTGTGGTTACCTAACCAGCAACCGAGTTCTTATTTTACAGGCCCTAAATTTACAAAAACTAAAAATCAGAATTAATAATTCTGAATTAAATTAAAAGTTCAGAAATAAGTCTGAAAATTCTGATTCGTTTTTTTAGTTTCTGATTTTAAATTAATTATAATTCTTGGTAGCAATTTGTAAATATTCTTATTCTGATTTTAAGTAAATTAAAGATAATAATTTTTGATTATATAAAACAGAAATTTTTATTTAATTTTTACTTAAAAATTAAATTAAAAAACTAACCAGAATCATATTCATACCCTGGACATTGCCAAAGAATATCCATTTCTGGATGTAAATTAAATACTCGAGGATTAAAAATAACATCATTTTCCAAATTTAAATGTTCTCCTCCATTTTCTGTTGTTTCAGGGAATAATGGGGAATTTAATCGATCATCAGAAAAATCAAAAATCTAAAAAATAAATTGAAAAAAAAATAATTTTTAAAAATACATTTTTCAATGGAAATTTGCTTCTGACTTGGGCAGCAAAATTATCACGCATTGTGAAGCTTAATTCACCCAAACATCGTCTGAAAAGAGAAAAATTGAATTTAAAAAATTATTCTTTACTCGTCATCTCCAGTAAAACGTGGTCGAGGATGAGGTTTAGCCTCTTCAAGCCAAGCCTCTTTGTCAGTTTCCCAAACAGGTAATTGATCGTATAAATGAGTAAATCCAGAACGAATCCAAAAAGATTCACAACGAGGATTATACGAGATCTACAAAAAAATTTTATTGAAATAAAGTGAAAAGTTTTTTTGGAAATTTAGAAATAAATTTTGAATTTTAATTTCACAGTTTATTGAATCGTTAATAAAATTCGTAATTCTAATTAATAAATTAAAAATTTAATTTTTATTCTTAAAATAAAAATTCAAAAACTTCTGATTTCTAATTTGTCAGAATTTTAAGTAAAAGGATTGTAAATTTTATTCAGATATTAAAAAAAATAAAATATACCCTATGATCCAACAATTTGCCTAAATTTCCTTTAGCCAAAACCAAATGGGCATCATCCACAAGGGAACGTAAAAATTTAGCACAATTATCAGCAATTTCTTCTTCAGAATGGCCCTCTTCTTTAGAAATATGATTGTTTTCAAGAAAAATTGACAAAGATTCCGTTACTTTTTTCTAAAAAAATAATTTTTTAAAAAGGATAGAAATAGAAAAATTCAAAAATAAGGTAAAAATTTGAAAAAGGCCCAAAAAAATTCGCTTAATAATAAACTTAAAAGGTCTAGAAATGTCAAAAAAAATTTATTGAACAGTCAAAAAATAATTTTTCCCCTCCTTCCATAAAAATACAAATTTATTAAAATATAAAAAAAACCTCAAATCCATTTGTAGGCAAAACTAAAGATTTGTAATAATTATTTTCCAATTCATTTAAAGCTTCAGAGCCTTCAACTAAACGACATTTTGTAACATATTTGTAAAAATTGAGTGGATCAAAATAATTGGGTATTGGAGGGAATGTCCAAGCCTTTCGAGGACGAGAAAGTGGACGCATCCAACGTCTATATAAATTTTTAGTTTTTAAAAAAAAAAGTTTAAAAAATAATTTTAACAAAAATTTGGAGTGATTTTAAATTGGAAAAATTTTTTAGAGAAATAGCAGGGCAAGGATGGAAAGAATATAGAGACTAGAGATCTGAAATTTTGAAAAGCCTGGGCTTGTTCCTGGGTTTGATTTATTGACCTGGGCCGGATCCTGGGCCTGTAGTCCAGGAAACACTCAGGCCCAGGAAAAACCCAGGCCTTGGTCCAGACCCAGGCCGATCTCTAATAAAGACAAAAATGAAAAACGAGAAAAATCGAAAAAATATTTGTATTCTTCCATTGCCAAAAACATTTAAAAGCTCTCCATTCATTTTAAAATTTAAAAACAAAAAAACCTGTGCCAAGTTTTCTCAACAACACTCCATTCTCTCTCATAAGGATTTACAAAATCAATTTTCTCTTTAATTGTAGGTAACCAATTAACAATTTCTTGCATTTTATAATAGTCCAATAATCTTGTTTTTGGATCGTTTAATTTCTAAAAATAAAAATTTTTAAAGGAAATTTATGTATTTATTGGTTCTGTTAAAATTGGGTTTGTGGGAAGGGAAGGATTTTGGCAATGAACAGTAAATGTGAAATTAGTACGTAATGTTTGACTTCCGAATTTAAAGAATTATTTTATGCCAATAAAAAATTTTTGCCTAGTACCAAAAAAAAACTCTGAAAAATCTTCGAGAAAACAATTCCAAAATATTTTTGAATAATTCGATTCGAAAATTTTTTTTAGAAAATATTTACAGAAACCTCAAATTAACTTTTACCAAAAAATTGTAAGAAAAAATAAACTAACAAACCTTAACAATCTTTTCATTTAATTGGCCAGTGAACGGTTTGAGAATATTTTTGTTCACAACAGTAGACATTTCTATTATGTAGAAAATCTGGTAAAAAATTTAAATAATTAAAATAAATACAATAAAATAATTAAAATATTCAATTAATTTAATAAAACAAATTAACAAAATTTATTTTAAAAAAAATTTATTTATTTATATATTTGCGATATTTTATAATCTAATAAAATAAATTATAAAACAAAAATAGAGTTATTATTGGTTCGACCATTATAAACAATAGAGACGTGCGAGATTTCTCTCATGGCCTTGGGATCAAGTGTTGGTCTCCGAATCATTGAAGATTTTCAGTCTCACACGTCTCTATGTAACAAATAATATAAAAATAATTTTTATCTAGAGAAACAAAAAAATTCAATTTAAATAAAAATAGAATCCAGAAACCGACAAATTAATCTCTTTTAATCTCAAACAAAGTTAAGTCGAGAATATATTTTTTGAAAATGAAAGAGAATCGATTATGCGAATCAGAAGTTTTTATTTTCTGATTTTTTATTATAACCAAGGAATTCTGCGAAAAAAGTTAAAATTTAAATGATTAGCAGCAAAATATAATATTGGTAAATCTATCTTGCTAATTAAAAAAGGCTTTTAAAAGCTACAAAAAATTAAATTTAAACAAAAATAACCCTATAAAAAATTATGTAATTTAACCAAACAATTGGTCTTTTAATAATAAAACTCTAATAAGAATAACTTAAGCTAAATTGAAGTTCATTTATTGCTAATTTAAACTAAATTTAAATATTTTAATAAATTTTTGTCACTAATATGTAGTTAAGGTTCAGAAAAAAATCAAAAGAAAAAAAACATAAATAAAAAAAACAAAATTTAAACTTTTTTCTCTAAGCAGACAACGCCGTGTCTCTAAATCCCTTTTCTAACTGCCGAGTTGCTGTATTTGTTGAACCTGTTGAGGTGTCCAAGTCCTTTTAAAAGATTTTAAAATTAAAAAAAAATTTTTTTTAATAAACCTCAACCCTTCGTTGCTGAACAATTAACACTAAAGGATTATCAAAATTATTTGCCGCGACACGAGCATTCTCCAAAGTTTGATCATTTTCTAATGCTTTATTATTCAAGTATAACAATTGGTCGTTGGGTGATTGTTTGGTTTTTTGCATAAGTTGTAATTTCAAATCTGTAATTGTTTGTGTTGAACGCATCTGAAAATAAATTATTTTAGTAATTTTTAAAATAAATCAAAATTATTTTCTAATTAACAAAAATACTTTTAGAGAAATTTTGAAGTAAAAATAATTCATTAACCAAATAATTAACATTTTACCTTAAATTTGAACATATTGGTACGCATTGCCATACGACGAGTTGTATAAGAACTTGAACTTGTGCCTGGACCCGCAGCCTTTGCCTGAAGTTGTTCTTCACTTTCGTCATCTTTCTAAAATTAAAATAAAAAATTTAATAAAATTCTTAAAATAAACATACCATTTTAACCCAAATTTCCGCACCGTCTGGGTATATGTAGCGTTTCTGTTCTTCATTTAAAAAATATTCATAGTTACATTCATCACAGAATTCCATATATTGACCTTGAATAAAGACAGGGATTTTATTTTTTGACCAAAAATATAGTCATATCTCATTATAAGATACATTCGAGAGCTGGAAGACTTAGAGAACATAAATAGAGGGTATCGCTTTAGCAGTTTCCCTACACAGTGGTCAACCAAATAGAAAACGGATCTTAAATTGAGGTGTATCCAACTATTGGGCGTATCTTACAGAGGTCAAAATGTATAAAATAATTTTCTTTACCATCCTCTTGAAATAAAATAGGGTTGGGCTCATTCTGTTCAGGTACATGTTTATTGTAAGCAGCTACCAATTGTTGCCATTCATCCTCCATCAAAGGTACCCCATTTGGTTGTTTTTTCGATTGTTTTTGTTGGTCTAAACCTGAATCCAAAATTTGATCAAATAAAGTATTTTCTTCTTGATTTTCTGATGGCATTAAAGGCAAATATGGACGGCCATGTTGACAGAGTATACAATCCTGACAAATTCGAGGGATTTCTACCACCTGTTTTTGTCTTTAAAAATATTTAAAAAAATGTTTAAAAATAAAAAAATACTTTGAACGATTTGTAATATTTTTCATTTTGCTATGAAAATCAGAACAAAGCATAAATTTGTAAGTCAGTCCCAATTCCTCTTGTGTCCATTTTCGATTCAATAAATTCTTAAGTAGAGGATTAATTTCGTTTAATAATTTTTGCAGTTGATCTAAATTGCTTTGACGAACTTCAGAAAGTATCTAAAATTAATAAAATAATAAAAGAAGAAAATAAAAGCTAGCCTAGAAAATTTTTGGAACCTTTATAACTTTCGCAGAAGGAAACCCTCACCCAGAAGTAAACCCCTCTCAAAAATATTTTCAAAATTAAGGGTGAGAATTTTTTAATTATTAAGAAATACTAAAACATTATTAAAATAGCAAATATTAAACATTTAATTTACATTATACTCTTCAATACAATCTGGGCATTCCTGTGATGAGCAAAGAAATGGACTAGTAAACTCCATAAAATTAGATTTCAGAACACCCCATTCATCTTTTGTCAACCAAGCACGCTTTGGCTTATATGATAAACGACCTAAATTTAAAAAATGGAAATAAATAGCAATTATGTAATCAATTTACCATGTTTACATAAAAGATCTTCATTAAAGCGAATGGTAGTAGGTACATCATCAGGGATTTCAGTAACTGACAAACTGTCAACACGTTCTAGAGGCTGAAAAGACTCATTTTTGTCATAAATTTTCGAGAAATTTGGTGGTTCATTTTCGTTATTATCCATTGAACTGGAAAGTCTACGCCTACGAACGGTGACATTATCACTCTAAAAATAAAAAGTTAATTAATATAAAAAATGTTTTTTAAACCAGAGGTGGAGTATTGATATGCTCTGCAACTATTTGAATTTCAGATGAAGATTGAAAATTATTTGAAGTCGATTGCCTGTGATGTTCTTCTAAAAATTCTCCTTCATCAGCAATATCTTCATCAATATCAGAACCTGCTTTAAGCCTTTTTTCTGAAAAAAGTAAAATTTTAATTGACAAAAGAAAATTCAGAATAACAAAAAATAATTTAAAAAAAAGTTAATAAAAAAAACCTGCAGGCGGATCTTCATCCGCTTTTTTGCTCAAACGACCCGAACTTTCCATTTGTGTTAAGGCAATTTTCTTAAATTTTTTCAAGTGATCAACAGATACCCATACAGAATCTTCAGGCGGAGAAAGAACAGGAAACGGACTTGCACGGCTTGGATCGTGAGTTCTGAAATAGATTTTTTGGAAAAATAAATTTATTTAAAAAACCTTGTTGGAAGTGATTTAAATGCATCAGACAGCGTTTTCTCAGTAACAACGAGCGAACGTCGAAAATTTGCTTCCAATTTTAAATCCTTAACGCATTCAGAGCAAAGATCAGCACTAAAAGTTAATAAATTTAAAAAAAGGACAATAATTTTTATAAATGAAATTTTAATTCTCACCCAGTCAACAGCTGGAAATCACCACCAATATCTGAATTTGTCGTTTGTTCGCCGTTATCACTATCAGGCATTTGTACTTTCCACTGAACATTGGAATCCTTTATAGAAAATGAGGGAAATTAATGGTATAATTTAAAAAAGAACTAAAAAAATCAAAATAAAACCTACAGCAATTAATCGTTTCAAACCAGCAGTTTTCACAACTTTCAATTCTCCTTTTTTAACGGCATCCAAAGGTACTTTTCCATGTTTACACAAAGTAATTTTAACAGAATTTAAAGGTTCCGGTGTATAAATATATTCATAATCAGCATAATCGAAACTGTTAATCTCTCCATCCTCCAAATTATTGTTAGGAATTAAAGTATTGTTGTTGTCCAATTCATTCAAATTATGCATTTCTTTAACTGCCTCGTATTCATTGGAAAACAAATTGGTTAATAATGAAGTTGGTAAAAATGAAATTTCTTCGGGTTGTTCAGATAAAACATTGCCGTCTCTAACCTTTTAAAATTAGAAAAAATTTATAGGACATTAAAATTAATAATAGGATAAATTAATAGGACGTTACACTCACAATCAATGTTGGATACACTTATATATTAGGTACATTTTCGAAATTTGGCTAATGAGGTAAGGAAAGCGTCTAATTGTAAGCGATAACAAAATCAATAATGGATCCACTCGGTACTAGGTAATCTTTTTAAACCTCAATGGCCCATTATAGGAAAAAAATATAAACAAAAAATAAAAGTAAAAGATTATACCTCTAATTCACGAAATAGTTGATTCAAATATGAATGTCGTGAATTAACACGCAATTCCCATAAATGCATTGAACGATTAGCTTCTTTACTTTCCCGAAGAAAATCACTTTCCAACTAAAATTTAATTTATTAAATTATTTATTCTCAAAAATTTTACCTTATTTTTAACTTCTTGAACAACTTCATCTGGAGGCATATTTAATTTTTTTGAAGAAGCCATTACTTCTGCTGCTGTATATGATGGTTTCCGTTGGTAAATTAAAGCATAACAACCCTTCTGATCAGCTGTTGGGCGACCAAAATTTTCTTTAGGTTCGCGTTGTCCTTCATAACCTGGAGCGCGTTTTTCTAATTGGACATGCTAAAAAGGAAAGATTAAAAGCAAAATAATAAAAGTCCTAATGAAAAACAAATTAAACTAGTTTTTCCTCAAAAATTTTTCAAATATGCCCCTCGCTTTACCGCAATTAAGGCATTAAATAATCAAATAAAAACAAAACCTTATCATTATAGGTAAACCACTGCTTTGTGTAAGGATCACGAATTAAATCATAATAATGTCCACAATGCGTATTATTCCCTTCGTGTATCATAACAGCGCAAAGCTCATATTCTTCATTATACAGAGCATCAGGTTTTAATTTGCTCGCTTTTAACAGACGTGGATATTGCATTACCGTTTTGAGTTTGTGATGACGCTCATTTGAACTAAAAAAAATTAAATTCAACAAAAAATTATTTTAAAAACAACCTTTTAAAGACATATCTGTTCAATTGAATAATTAACACTTGAGGAAGTGTTGTGTATTCCATTGTTTTCACACATTTTCCTTGTTCTTGACAATTGCTACATTTGTAGTCAGCAAGTCTTAAAAAATATTTTTTAAATAAAAACATCCAAAAAACAAACAATTCAGGCCTAAAAAAACTGTCAATAGCAGTGATTAGAGAATTAAATCCATCAATGGTGATAAATAATGAACGATATTCGCTTTCTGCATTTGTTGAATGACCACATTCACAACTGATTGTTTGACGCATACAACTCTGGAAAAGAAGAAAAGTTGAAAATCAAAAGAACAAATTAAACCTGAAAAAGTTGTCTAATTGAAGCTTGTATTTTCTCTCCATTTGGATGAAATAACAAATTCTTCTCAATAGTGTCAAAGAATAAAGTATGAAATTCTTGGACGTCTTGTTGTTGATTGTCTAGCCTTAATAGTTGACAGAATTCTTTGGCGTCGGTTGTTTCCTATTTTTTGTAAAAAATAAAAAGTTAATAAAAAATATAAAAAAAACTAACAAAAGGCGTCAATTCAAGAGTTAAAAACAATCGTTGTAAGCAACACATAACCTCCTGAATATCCAATTTAGCATCGAGCGGTTTTTCCCAAAAAGGATCGGCACGCCAATCATAAACACATTGACGGAATCGTAAATCGTTGAACCAAATCTTTAAAAAGATTTATAAAAGAGCTAAAATTATATATGGGAAATATGTCTGAAAATAACGGGAAACAATGAACATTATGGATTCGACAGATAAAGTTGGATGACTGTTATGGGTTACTTAGGAGAAATACATTCCCGTAAAATAAACGTTTTCAGAATAAAGTCAAAATTTAACAAAAATAATTTTTAAAAGACCTGTAAAAAGCTATTGACATAACAAAAATTTCCATAATTAACTAAGCCACAAGGTTGTACATTTGGATTGCGACGAATCAAAGGCTCAGAATTGCTGCTAGAAGCTTCTTCCTTTTGGGTTTGTAAACATTTGTCAAACTTTTCCAATCCAAGGCGGTATATACAGAATGGATTGAGACGGCAATTTCGTGTTCTGAATTAAAAAAAAAGAGAATGCGTCTTATAAATATATTCGAGGGAGAAGGAAAGGGGAGGCTTGGAAGCAAAAGATAGAAGAGGTAAAAACAGTTCAAGTAATAAGCCCCCGCTTCAAATAGGATCCCCTAATTTTTGATACTGATTATGAGTCAAGGAAAATTCCAAATCTAAAACCATACTAAAGCCAAAAAGAAACCATACAAATTAAAAATCTTAAAAATACTTTGGATTTGGTGGAATATGAGCGTCACAGCCAAACTCGTTCAAATTGTAAATACGCCAACATGCATTCAAATCTACGTTGTCAAGTGCAATTAAGTCGTCGTCTAGTTGATTGTCCTAATAAAAAAAAAGTTTGAAGACGAAGAAAAATTTAAAAAAAGTTAGTTTAAAGATAATTCAGTGTAAAGATAAGAAAAATTTTTAAAAATTAATTTTATTAAAAACAAAAATATTTACTTTCTTTTTAGTTGTTCTTTTTCTGTAATAAGCCATTTATTGAAAAATATAATGCTAAAATATACTAAACTAAAAAAAAATTGGTAAATGTGGCTTTTACTAATTCAGAAAAAAATTAGTAAGAAGTACTCTTTCCACATTTTTGAGGGTTGTCAAGAGATAATTGAGTGTGCTGAAAGTTACTTCAAAAGCGTATACCAAGACTTATGGTCTCAATAAAATCAACATGGAACAACTTTAAAATTTCAAATATTTCTCATTTGAACATCGCACAAGACAATAGAGACTAAACTGTGTGGAAAAAAGCTTGAAATACCAAACATCCAAAAAACCCTAAAATACAAAACTGAAATACCTACGATTGGAGATGTTGTTTCAACAAATGGGAAACTCGTTCAAAGAACGGTGTAAAAAGATTTTCCTCATAAAAACTTTTTTCCGCTATAGATGAAGCCGGGTAAGCGAGCTCACTTCGCTCGCGCAGGACGCAGCGATCGTGTAACAAAGAACATGCCCGGCCTACCCTCGGTAGAGCACAAAAAGTTTTCCAACGAAGATTCCAATATCCCCTATTATTTATACAAACCCGTCCAGTGTTAAGAGTGAAAATAGATAGATAAATAACTGAAGAAGTTGCAGTTTGGTATTTATTTGATGTTATAACGTTTTTTCCAGTTTGGTATTTCGAGGGCTTTTGGAGGGTTTGGTATTTCAAACTATTTGGGTATTACAAAATGAAACCCAAATTTGACCGGTTTGGGAACTAAAAATTGCAAATTTTACATCTAATCTCTAACTTGTTTCCTCGAGGAATTGACTTTGTTTAATATGAAGCCATTGACTCAGCTCGAAGAGACAAGTTTTTATATTAAGCATAAGATTTTTAATTTCCAAAACGAATTTGTCTTATTAGTCGAATTCGGGTAAGGGAGTCGATGAGTGAAATTCCAGCACATGTTCAAACTCAGCAAATTCGTTACCTACTGACAACGCTCAAAAATTACGAAAAAGCACTTACTGTATTTTTTCCGGAATAGCAAAAGCAAAACTTTAACGAATAACTTAAATGAATTAACAAAAAATAAAATATAAAATTAACAAAAAAAATAAAAAATATAAAATCAATAAAAATAAAAAAATTGAAAAATACAAAATGTCAAAAAATAAAAAATAAGGGTTAGTTTAGTGCTGACGATTGAGAGTGGGCCCCGAACTGGACTGGGCTAATTTCGCATTTTGCGTTTCGCATTTTTCGCATATTCCACATTTTTCAGCGCGAAAAGTTTCGAATTTCGTATTTTGCTTTTTATTTTTAGATTTCGCCCAGCCGAATTCTGTTACAGTAATCCCATATGATATTTTTTAGACTTCTTGCAGAATTTGTTTCTTTTCATTTTTTTTCAATTGCATTCAAAATTTTAGCATTAATCAGGAAAAATTGTATTTTTAATTTATTTTTTTAATAATTCAAACTTGTATTTGTCTACATACTCCATAATTTTCTTTTTAGAATTTAAATAAAAATTTAAAAATGATTGAATCAATTAAAACCAATTTTGATCAATTTATTTCTCAACAACAAACTTCTGATAACCAAGAATTATTAAATTCTTCTGTTTTAATTATTGCTGTGCTCGGAAAGGTTTTTCTTTAAATTTAATTAAAATTAAAAAAATTAATTTTAAAAGGAAGTTGCTGATAACACAAAAGCTGATTTATTAAATGATTTTTTGGGTGAGAGAGCATTTTTTGAAGATGAGATGAACAAAAATAATTTTTTAAATTGTGTTAACAATCCTGAAAATGCTCGGCTGGAAAGTTCTCCTTTGGTAAATTTTAAAAATAAATTTTAAATATTTTTTGGGTAATATTGAACCGGGCAGACCCTCTTTTTTCCTACCCAATTTTCCCCCTAATGGTCAGACTTTTTCCTTTCTTCCATCCAAATTGCCTTCTAATTATTGCTTACAATCAAACAAAAAGGACTATTTATAGTGATTCTATACAAGTGCAAGTACATGCCAAAAACAGGTAAAATGAGGCCATTTTGCAAAAATATAGGGAAAAATTGGGGAGGAAAAAAGGGGGTCTGTCCGGTTTAATATTACCTTTTTTGTAATTTTATTTTACGTTTATTATTAATTCGAAAAATATTTTTTTTATTTTTAGATAGATATACATTTTGATAAAGAAGAATCAATTATTTGGCTTATCATAAATGGATTTAATGATATTGAATTCCAACATTTATTGTTTAATAATATAAATGAGAATTTTAAAAATAAGGTTTAATTGAATTAATTTTATAATTTTTGATACAAAAATTAAACAAAATTTTTATTAGCCCTAAAAATTAAATTTAAATAAATTTTTTGGAATAAATTTTAAATTTAAAGTCATTTTTCGAAAAAATGTCTTTCGTCGATCGAGAACAATTATTTGCACTTGCTCAAATTTTCCCTCTTTGTCATGCTCTTTTATTTATTGAACAAGGATGTCGGTTTGATTTGGAGTGGATTTGTTTATTGAAACGATTAAATAAGTTGAGGTAAATTTTGTGAATTTTTAAAAGAGAAAATATTTTTTAATTTAATTTTGGAGTATTATTTTTTTAAATTAAATTTAAATTCGAATTTAAATAATATTTCACGCCTAACATAAAATAAAATTAATATTTAAAAAAATGTTAACAAAAATTTTTAAAACAATTTTCGATAAAAATGTTTAATCAAAATTTTTAAAATCAGAATTAGTTCAACTTATGACTTTTTAATTAATTAGAATTTCTTAAAAATAACTTAATTTTTAATTTTACTTAAAAGCAAAATTTCTATTTTATTTTTATTGGAGTTCGAACTTATCACGGGCCGGGCTCGGTGGCTGTGCTTTTTTCTTCCAAGTCGACACGGGCCGGGTTTTCGGGGATAAAACCTCCAAATTAGGAAACCCCGAAAACCCGGATTTTATTAAAATACCCCAGTTTACGGGTCCGGGCCCGGAAATCTCGGTCCCAGATCCGACCCGGGTTCGAACTCTAATTTTTATTTCCCTTTTATTTTTAGGTCATCCATTTCCCGACGTATTCGTTCTTCCCTTTCTTCAATCCCAGAAACTGTACTGTCAACAAACTTTCCCTCTTCATTTGTTAATACTTGCAGAATTGGAGCCTCTCCTCGTTTACTTTTTTGTTTTCACCGAAATCCATTACGTACTGATTTAAATGCCACAAAAAAGGTTTCTTAATTTTATACGAAATATTTATAATTTTATTTTTTTAAAGAAGGAACTTCTCGAAAAAATGGAAAAATGTCTGGAAACACAAATTGCAAATTTATTGAAACAACACGGACTTGTGGACATTAAACAGTAATTTTAAATTAGTTAAAAATTTATTTTTCTCCCTTTTTAAGCCCAAATACTTCCTTTGCCCAAATAACTATTTCTTCTGGCACTCCTTTTGTTTATTGTTTCAATCAGTTAGAAATACCTGTTGATGTTAACAATGAACTGGCTGAAGCTTTATTTGGGTCTTTGGGGTTGGCAGGGAGAGAAGATGAAGTTTGCAGTAATAAAAGTGGTAATTTAGGAAATGGAAATTGTATTAATTCAGAAGAAATTCTTCGTTTAATTAATCAAATTACTGAACCGTCAAAAATGGATAGGAAAGGTTTTATTTAAATACTAGCTGCTTTTTTAACTATTTGGAAAAATATGTTTTTAATTTTCTGGGGAATTTAGCATATTATTTAAGAAAAAATAGTCATGAGAAAAAAAACACGAGAACGAGATAAAACGAGATACGAGACCAACAAGGAACCATCCTTTAAAGTGCGAATTTGATACTTTTTTGGTACCATTCGATAGAGGACCTTCGACTTGCTATTGTGTTTCTCACCCACCCCTGGTGATAATACACTCAAAATCATTCCGGAAAGTGATAAGTTTCTCTGAGAAATTAAAATAAAGAGTGTTTTTGTGTAGTCCTTTATGTTTTTATAAAGGTTGGTATTTTCTCGGTAAATCAAATATTTTTTCGTAAAAATTCCTTCTCTTCCATTGCTAAATATTAATTATTAAATTATTCTCAAAACATTTTATTTCTAGAACTCGAAAACTCTTCCGACTACAATTTTCCATTTTTTCTTCACAAAGCTATAAATAAATTACGCAAAGATTTAACTTCAAATAAACTACAAAATACACCTTTACCTACACTTGGTCAATTTATCGAGGCAGCAAAACTCTTGAGACGTTGTATTTATGATGAAAAAAATGGAGAAAGTTTTGATTTAAAGGTTACTATTTCACCAGAAATTGAATCAATTAATAGGTTTTTATTTTTTATTTAGATTTTTTGGATTTTTTAAAATTAATTTTAAATTAAAAAAATATTATTTTAAGGCGGGAATGGGCTAACAGAGGGGTTTTAGGGGATTTGATCGAGGGATTTTTATCTATTAATTGAGGGTGTATCATCTTATCTAACATTATCTTCCCCTTTTCCCCATTTCAGGGGGGGGCTATAGCCCCATAAGCCCCTCCCCCGGCTACGACCATCTCCACGCCTACTAGCCATCAATTTGGGATCTTCTATTTACTTACCCATCGTCCCCTCTTATCCCATGCTAACTTCATCCACGGATTAAGCGAAGGAAAGGTCAATTTATATTCCTTTCATATTCCGCTTTTTTTGTTTTAATCTTCTCTAATATAAACTGGGCATGGGTTTTGCTACTTCTTTATTTACCAAATTAATTTAAAAATAGTCTTGTGGAATCTGCAATTAGCTCATCTCGTGTCATTTACAACAATCAACTTTCACTTCAGCCAAAAATGACTGGTGGTGGGGATCCTGTCTTTTCCAAAATTGAACATGAATATTCAGTTTCATTTTTTTTGTAAATTTTCTTTTATTTCTAAATTTTAGTTAAAAATGGCTGTTGATCATCTTCGCCACTCTTTTCCCCGATCGGCAGGTCATCATCATATTGATAAATTGATATCTCAATTAGAACTTGAATGTGAAAATACTTGGAAAGATGGGCATCAACGATGTGAGAAACGTTCTTTAACAGGACAATTTTGTGCTTATAAAGTTTGTTTTTTTGTTTTTTCTCCAAATTTGTTTTTAAGGTAAATCATGAATTGCTGAAAAATGACGATGATAGTAATTTAAAAGTTGTCCGTGATAGAAGTGGAAGTACTGGACGCAAACGTCAAAAATTTCAACCAAAATCTAAAAGTCAACACTGTTCTGGGGTAAAAATATTTTCATTGTGTAACTGTGGAATGTCTCGACGTATTCGAAATGATCCTTTTACTTTGAAGGTTTTTCGTTTTTAATAAAAGTTTTAAAAATTATTTTTTTACCCAATTTTTTTAATTCAGGAAGCAAATTTTACTTTTTACAACGAAACGGGGGATGATAATTTTAATTTTGGCTCTTGCTGTGCAAATTTAGATAAATATAAATTTAAATTGTTTGATGTATCCACTGCACAATTGGAATCAAAAAATGTTGATAAACTTGAGGAATTTGTGGAGAATGTTAAATTAAATGAATCAATTAAACAAAAATCTTATTCGGATGTAATTTCAATGCAAGGTTTTTATAAGATATTTTTTATAGGGTTGCCGGACCGGTTCGTTTCGGTAGATCGAACCGCGCATCGAATTTTGGTTCGAAAAAGACATTAACAGCTCGGTTCGATAAAAATAAGGCCTGGAAAAATGACTCGAACGTCGGCCCGATTCGAAAAGGCAACTAATCTTTTGTTATATTGTTGGAGGTTTTCCAGTACTAAAAACTGGAAATATTTTTTTATCATAATTCTATTTTCGTTCCACATATAAAAATTCTTTCTACAATAATTTTCATTTTATAGAAAATGTAAAGAGAACTATAACAAATCCTCAATCACAATCCAATAATAATGAGGAAGTCGACATCACAAACGAAATAGGTGGAGGTTTGGCAATAGATCCAAGTGATTTTAATGTTCGTTTCTTTGATGAGGGAGATGATGAAGAAAGTGGAGAAGAAATTGGAGAAAAAATAAATAAAATTAAATTATCACAAGAAGAAGAGAAAGAAAAGTCAAAATTAAATCCTAGTCAAACTTTATTGTTGGGGGAAAACGAATATGATGAGGATGAAGATGAACCTATTAGAAAAAAGAATGTAATAACATCCGATGAAGAAGTTAGTGAAGAGGAGGAGGAAGATTTTGATGAGGAGGAGGAGGAAGAAAGAGAAATGAATGTTGAAATTGAGGAGGTTTGAGGGATTTTAATTTTTCTTGCTTCTAAATTACTGGCTTCAAAATTACCCATCTGCTATTTAAAAAATATTTTTTTTATTTAAGCAAGAACAGACATCATTTCATTCAAATGCCCGTTCATCAACTATGGGTATTCCTAATGATAATGAAGATGTAGAATCATCACCTGAACCTCCAGAATTACATTATTTAGACGAATATGACTCTCATCTGACTAGAACTGGAACTGAACAACAAAATATAAATATTGACAACAAAAGAGATGTCCCTCCAAAAGAGACTCAATCAAAACTTGAAAAAATGGACGATTCAAAACTGGAAGAAAATTTTAAAGGTTTTTAAATTTAAATTTTGAAATTTAGTTGACAATTAAAACTAAAAATTCAAATATAACAAAGTTTTTTAAAGGCCAATATCTCGATCACGTACCTCATACCAATTCACCACCTTCTCTACTTCCACTCTTCCCTTCATTCTCTGTTGTCTGCATTGGTCACTCATCTTTATATAATCATTCAACTGGTATTCGTGGTCATGATAGGACAGCACGTTTTAGAAGTGGCTCAGAGTAAAAATAAATTATTTTAGAGTAATTTAAAATACATATTTTTTCTAAATAGATATTTACTTCCATGGAGTGTAAGACTCTCGGTTAATACTGAAAGATGGGTTCGTGAAATGCAATTAATTGGTGCTAATCCAACAGATCAATGTTTGAGAAATTTACAAAATGGAATTGCACATGGTAGAACAGAAAGTAATGAAAAGGTTAAGGTAAAAAGATTTTTTTGAAATCATTTTTAATTTTTTCGCCACACAATTTTAGCTTTTTGTCGGTTTCGATTACGAATGTCCTCGTGGCCATCGTTTTACTTGTGGTGAACCATTCAAACCTCTCAAACATCGAAAAGATTATGGGCCTTTAAACCAAGATGCTGGCCCTCTATTGGATGCTGATCTCCCTTTATGGCTGACTTGTCCTTGCAGAAAGCCGAGAATTATGGCACAATTAATGAGAATACATGTAGTAACACCAAAAGCGCCTGTTTCTGTTACTTTACAGCCACGAATACAGGCAAATTTATTTTTGTTTACAAATTTGTCTGAATTTTAATTTTTAAGATGCCCGATGACGATGGTTATTTCTTTCCTGGTGCTATGGAGGGGATAGAGCTTGGTTGGGCAAAATACTATGTCTGCAGACGTAAGGATTTTTTCTTCACAAATTTTTAATAAAAAATTAAAATTATTTTAAAAACAATTTCTAAATCTATATTTTATTTTTAGTTCCCTACATCTATGTTGGGCCTAACGGAAGGAAGTCTTCATATAGACCAAATAGCCCTTTATTTAAAGGGCGTTTTTTGCGTCAATGTATTTCTGTTCGTTATTTACCTATTTCGTCCTCCTAAATATTTTTTTTGTTTTTCAATTCTTTGTACAACAAAATAATGAATTTTTTATTCAAAATGGCTTTTTTACTTACCTGTTAAAACATGCAAATGCAACATGCAATCTTTTTTTTCTAATTTAAAGATTTTTTTAAATTTTAATTTTCTTTTTAGGTTTTTTTCAAATTTCTATTTAAAAATAATTTTCTCTTGATGGCTGGTAAAACGGTTTATTTTTAAATTAATCAAAAAATAGTAAAAATTTTTTTCTTTTTAAGTGCACTCCACTTGTTTGTCGACTTCTCGATAAATCTGTTGATATGATGAAAACAAAAAATGGGCCTAAAGTTGTTTATGGAACTGCTAGTGTTTTGGTGTTTACTGCTGTTTTGTGTTGTGCTAAGGTTTTTCTTGTTTAATTTTTTTGTTTAAATTTGAGAAAAATTTTTTTGATTTTGTATTAAAGATTTTAGAAATGAAAAATTCTAGTGAAATCAGGGTTTGCAGAATTTTCTTTGGATCATGATTTTAGTCGGGTAATATTCCGGGTCTTGGGTTCCAGTAACCCACCATCCCTGTTTGGAGGAACGAAATTCAGAACGTACACCTCAATTGAGTCCCGACTCAACTGATAATGAGTCTCGGACTCTATAACTTATAAAGACAATATACCAAAAAATCAAAATTCCTGACCGACTGGTAAAAAAGTTATGATCGATAAAGTGCCGAAAAATCCGATTTTTTTGAAAAAGTTAGTTTTTATATCATAACTTTTTTATCAACCGGTCAAAAATTCTGATTTTTGATATGTTGTAGAGCTTTTGATTCTCTATCCAAGGTAAAAAGAACATTAAAAATTATCTGAGTTATAGGGCCGGGACTCAGTTGAACTGCTCCGAACTCAGAATTATCAATACTTTTAAAAAATCGATAATTTTCAGGATTGGTTTGATGGACGGTTCAACAATAAACATTAAATCGAAAATTTTTTTTGAGTGAGAATTAGGAAATAAAAATCAATTTAAAGATCCTTTTGTCGTTTATTTACATAAATTTTTGGTTTAAAATTGGAAAAATAAATTTATTTTTTTTTGTTTTCTTCAAAAAAATCTAATTTTTTTAAATATTTTTTTATATTTAATTTCGAATTTTCCCCCTAATTTTTTTTAGAATTTTATTTAAAAAATTTTCTGTTTTTCTTTGATGGCTTCGGAAAGAACGGTTTAAATTAAATTTTAATTAAACAAATTAAATAAATTTTTTTAGGAAGAACAAAAACGAGAACTTTATGCACCCTCTCTGTGGCGTAGACGTACATATAACGGGACTCTTAGGTATTTTTTTAATAGAAAAATTTTTTTATTTAATATTTAAATAATTTTGGGTTTAAAATTGGGGTTGTTTCGATCGGTTAATTAATACGGTTGGTACTTATTTAGTTTGCAGACGTAAAAAAGTTTATTCAAATGATACCTCATTCGAAAGAGCTTAGTCGAATGACACCAAAATTAACGTGATTGGATATGGTTTGATATAATTAGGATATTAAGTATACCTATCGGAGTCGGCAACTTATGTCATTGTCAAATCTTGTCCAATCACGTTGATTTTGGTGTCATTCGACACGGCTCGACGAGTTCTACAACGTCTGGCAGACTGACCATTTTTTACTTATTTACCGAAAAATTGACTGGGGGAGGGAACTAAATAAGTACCCTGTTGGTCTTATTGTTGGCAAATTTTAAGGGTATTTGAACGGTCCCCAACAACTGTTTGAAAGGAAATTAATTTTTGGATTGTTACAATTTTTCCCTTCATAAAATTATTTATTAAAAAATAAATCAAAATTAATTTTTATGGAAATATTTAATAAAAATTTTTAAAAATTCTTTTAAAAAATTCAATTAAAGTATGCACACTTATATGTTGCAAATTTCTGCTATTTATCAATGCACAAAGGTAAAAAATAAATATTTTCAAAAATCATAATTATTAAAATAATTATTTCTGAAGCTAAAACTAAAATAAAAATTTATTCTCCTTTGAATTTTACCGGAATTTTTTTAAAGTAAAATTCGGTACTATCGCATCAAAATTTAACTTTCCGGAAGACGAATTAAGTTTTCCGATTTTTAAAAGTTTTCTTGTAAAACTAACATTTTGTAAATCCTTTGCTTTTAAATTAAAATTAATTTTTCCTTTAGCTAGGATGACTAGTTGAATATTTAATTTTTTTCATACATAAAGTGAGAGTGAAGGTGTGGGTCCTAGGTTCCGTTGCACTTTGTTTTTTCCTTACAATAAGGAAATTTATCTTCGTTATTTAATAGAAAAAAGCTAAATTTTCAACCAATCCTGAAAAAATAAAAAGATTTTTGGTAATTTTACTATAAGGATATTTATTTTTTTAGCTTATTTAGCATCACAATTTTACTCAATTTTCTTTATTTATAGAAATACCTTATTTGCTCTAATTGAGCGACCGGCCACCAGCTTTTTTCTATTAAATAACGAAGATAAATTTCCTTATTGTAAGGAAAAAACAAAGTGCAAAGGAACCTTTAGTTATGATTTCATAATGGAAAAATAATTTAATGTGATTAAAACTAATCAATCTAATCCTTTTAAAACAAAGAAACACAAATTATTATCGTATTTCCTCTAGAGCGGTCGCCTCCATTTGAACGACCGTCCCCAATAGAGCGGCCCTTTGAGACGGGATTGAAAAATAGAGTGGCCGGTCGCTCAATTAAAGCAAATAAGGTATTTCTATAAATAAAGAAAATTGAGTAAAATTGTGATGCTAAATAAGCTAAAAAAATAAATATCCTTATAGTAAAGTTATCAAAAATCTTTTTATTTTTTCAGGATTGGTTGAAAGAAGTGTGGGGACGTAGAAATTAATAAAATATTTTTCTTTTTGAAGGATGTGAGAATTAGGAAAATCAGAATTAAAATAAAAAGGAAGTATCCAATGATTGCTTATTTATCTAAATAATTTTTTGTAAAATTATTAAAAATAAATTGATTTTTTAAAATTTATTATTTAAAATCGTTTGTGAATAGGGGGTATCCTTATCTGCCTTAAACTTGCTGTCATATTGTAAAATACCCAAATAAATATTTTCATAACTTTTGTTTATTTACTTTAGTGAGAATAGTATTAATGAGAACTTCTAAATTTGTTGGTGACATTAAAATGCTTTATTTGGAAGTAAAAATTCAGGACTGAAAGTTTAGCAGTCCAATGAAGGTTTAAGTGTCTGATAGAAGTTTTTGATTCTGAACATAATTTTAGAAAATAAAAATTGAAAACTTTTTTTGGGGGGGGGGGGGGTGTTTCTGCTACTTAACAGGTATATCACAAGTTATCTGAAATTCGAAACCCTGACAATTGTTTGATCCGTTTAATATAAAAATATATTTTATTATAAACTATAAAGCTATTAATAAAAATATTCAAGTCGGATTTCAAATAAAATTAATATTTATTTAAATTTGTCACGTTTATTTTAGAGCTGGAATTTATTTAATATTTAATTTTAAATAATATTTCCAACAATTTAAATAATTTTAGTATATTTTAGTATATTAGTGTTGGATTAAGTTTATATTTAGAAGCTTTAAATTTTAAAGATTATTTTCTATAAATAATTTTATATTAGCGGAAACTCAAAAAAAATTTTTTTATAAAATTTTTTATTAAATAATTAGAGAAATTAAAAAATAGAGAATAAAAAACACGTGGAAAAAATTAAAAAAATTTTTTTTTTAATTAAAAAAATTTACAATGTAAATATCCGGTTTTTAATTACGTATTAAGCTTATTTCTTCAATTTAAATTTATTTATAAATAAGTGAATATTCAAGAAATAATTATTTTAAAAAAAGTCATTAATTTAAAAACTAAAAAAATCCTCCTAAAAATAATTTTAAAAAATAGAATGACTTTAATAATTAATAAAATTTTAATTATTTTAATAATTTCTTTAAAATTTTTATTAATAAATACAGCCCCAATAAATTCTGTTTCTATTTCCTATAATGTTTTGGAATCTAAAAAGGGAAGTAGTAATGTCCAAATTGTAATTAAAAATAATGGACAAACCCCAATATGTTCTGTTAAATTCTTTCTTTCGTTGCCGCATGGGGTAAATTTTTTTGTTAAAAATTATTAAAAAATATTTTTTGTTAATTTGAGAAATTGGAATTATTTGGAAATGTCCTTAAAAATATAATTTATTTAAAATTCTCTCAAACAGGGAGAAGGATATCGAAAGCCCCTTGTTTTGTGAGGACACTTAGTCTAGAAATATCGTATCCTTTCATATTATCTATGTTCGAGTTAGCTTGCTTAAATGAATCCAGATATATTGGGGTGTCCGCGATTCTATAATGCGCTGACTAGGCAGAACGTCTGTCTGTCTTGTTACCTCAACTGGCAATTAAGAGGAGTATAATTCTATTCCTATTAAGAAAGGAAAGAATGTCAAGTTTAGGGCCAAGCAACAAAGCCTTGTATCCTCAAAATATTAAAAATATAATTTATTCCCTTTAAAAAATATTTTTTCCAGTCGGTAACTCAATCAAACAGAAGTGTTCGTTTACGTGGAAACAATAAATACAGAACTCCAAACGGCGTTATAATCCAGCCGGGAAGTTCCTTCGATGATGCTGGTCTAATAATCAAAGGAAATGGGATGCCTACTTTGTATATTCTAAATGTTACTGAATGTAATTCAAATAATAATAATTATGACGATGATGATTGTACAACAACTACAGAATCATCAGATAAAAATAAGGGAAACGGAAAAATAAAAACTACAACAGAAATAAACCCAAATAATAATGAAGTAACAAAATCTAATAATAAAGGGAAAGGCAATAATGATGAAATTAAAAGTTCAACCAAATCTTCAGGAAATGGAGGAAATAATAATAGAGATACAACAGATTCTCCCATTCCTGGAGGAAAAACATTAACTGTCGATCCAGACAGAGCTGTCGCAAAAAATATGTGCCTTAGTGAAGAGAATGCTTCTGGAGTAGTTGACTCTTATTTAGATACACCAAGGGATGGAATATTTACTTTTTATGGTGTTGGGGGAGAGGGGGCCTGTGGAATTGACACTGCGAGTGCTTCTATTGTATGTTCTTTTTGTGAAAAAATTATTTTTAAAAATTTTTTTCCAAAAATTTAGTCAGGAATGTCTGCAGCAGCTTCTTATGTACTTTTCGACGCTAATGCCAAATGGATTCCATCTTGTTTTGAAGACAAGCATGTAGTGAGAAATGATAAAATTTGCATAAATAAATGTGTAAAAATTGAATACAAAGGCAAAACGTAATTTTAATAAATAATTTAATTTAAATTAATTCGATTTCCAGTTTAACAGTTCCAATAAATAATGAATGC